AAATTTCGGAAAATAAATAATAAAAATAAAAAAACGATATTTTTCCATAAATGGAAAAATTCGAGATTCTAACTTAAATGGAAACTCCTAATATTCAGGATCGTCCTCCAACAAGCGGAATCAAAATCCGAATTTTATTGAATGAGATATTACCAAAATAAAAATTACTATAAACGGCAAAAATGCATAATTGAGGGCCTAAACGATGGAATTTGCCCAAAATTTGACGTGCTTCAGGGCCAAAGGCCATGAGTTGTGATCATTGGCCCCGTTTTCACTCAAATTAGACTAGCAATTCGTCAAAAACGAACAAACTCGAAATTAAATTGAGTTATTATTTTGCCTTCATCATGGACACATGTAATACGTCCGTCCTTGGTGCATTTACAACATTGTCGGAGTTAAATTTCTCTGATAACTCGTACACGAAATGGTGCAGATGACAATTAGGTGTCGGACGCATGGTGAGGCGTGGTTCATGTATAATGGAAATATTTCCAGATTTGGAGTAGAAGAATTTGCCTTGCTCTACTAATATATAAAGAAATAGAGCATCTGGTAGCTGAACGTGGCTGCATCATGAGTTCATGACCACATTGGCAGGCGGGACCGTTCACTCCCAAGCAATGACGACAGTCTGGGACGACATTAAAGCCCTGAAGATAGTCCTATGTTTGCAGTCGATATCCCTACCCGCGAACAATCGAAAATTTTGAAAAATAAACCAAACAAATGTACTAAGATTCAGCTTTTCGAATTCCAACTGGCTAATTTATTACGGAAACCAAAAAGCACATGTAAATTTTAGTCTATTTTTCCAATAACCGCTCCATGAGAGCAATGCAATGTTCCGAGAAAATTATGTCGTCTAATAGTGAACGCTCGCTACATTTTGGACTGACATTTTACACAATCTTGATCAGCGAAAGTGCAAGACAAAGAAGACTTTACAAAAAAAAAAAAAAATTATGTGAAAAAAAAAAAATCATGTGTAATTTTTTTTGTTTTTACGTATTAGCCCGACCTGTAATTCGGTCCTGGATCCGTCCCTAGTAGCATGTGGACGATGGATAAATTTCTGATGTGTATTGACAACTTCCTGTGGTAACTAAGTTTTTTACAGACATTAAACTACGTACATATGCCACCATATTACTTTAAATCTTGAATGTTCGACAGTATCTCTACATCCATCATGGATGAGATCTAGACCTTCAAATAACCGCCCAATAATATGGACATTTCTGCAAAAAGAGCAACTAAGTATTTTCACTTGCCATTCGAATTTTTCTTTAAATTTATGAATAGTAGACATTTTTACTTTTTTCACCCACCAAAAACAATTTCCTTCAACTTTCACCTCTATAATTTATACATATCTAGTGGTGTCAAAATAGACGTGCAACCCTCCATGTTCTTGTCGTTAAAATCTCAGATCGCAGTTGGTCCAGCTCGGTTGCTAGTCGTGTTAAGCTAAATTCTTCGTTCGAATGACCCACAAGGACGCATGATCAACCCGATTTCTCCAAAAATTTAAAAATAAATCATATTTTAAACAAATTTGAAAGACCCTTTGGGTTTGGCTCGAACCATATTTTAAACACGTCGATCCACGTCTATTAGGTTTTGCTTGAGACTAAATACAGAAGTATCGAACGATGTGGATCGTCCAATAAATTTTGACACGTAAAAACCAGTTGCATTTATTCCATGTGATATGTCCCTAGAATTGCATGGCTGTAGAAAAGGCCAATTGGGGTTCTGCTAATTGCTACCTGTTCCAGTGTGAACGAATATGTTAAAAGTCCTCAATTTCGTCTAAACCAATACAAAATTTTCTTGGCATAAGCGACAGAAGAAAAAATAAAATCCTATTTTGTCATTGAGCTGTACATTTTCCGCATTTTGCTCCTTCGAAAAAGGTGTAGTGGCGAGTAAATTTATCTCGGACGTTGAAGTAAAACCGTATAAATCTGTATTATTTAACAAAAGCTCGAGATTAGCTACAAGAGGTCTCGATTATACCTAAAGAGTGAAGACGATGTTAGACTTAACTAAACTGGTAAATAAACATTTCACGTTCACTCGACTAAAGAGTACAACAAATCAACATATAAGATAAATATATCCCAGCTGTAGGACTAAATTATTGGTCTGTTTATAGATGCAGCCTTCGCATTGGCACATTTTTTTCTGTGCAATTTTTCTGAGGACCTCCATTCCATTCCACTGCTCTTCGATTCTTTTTTACTCCCACTGCCAAACGATATCATTTACTGCAAAACCAGTCCAGGGCCATCTCTTGGACCTTCTTTATGATAGTGCAAGTACACACAGGGGTAGTCCCCACCCCCACACCCACCCCCACCTCCACCCTCACCCTTTTGTGGGAGTGGGGGTAACCCCAAGCTCCAATTAAGTGAATGCAGTTACTATGTGTCATATATCATGTTGGCTTTGTCAATATTTTCTAATGCTACTGTAAAGAGTGGGGGCACGTTTCTGTGCCTGACTGAGTCATTCATATTATTTAAAGATATTGAGAAGGCAAACACACTGTAGAGTGTAGATTGTACTTAGCAGCTTTCATCAAAATGTGAGAAGAGGGGATTTTTCTAAGCTTGGTTCTTGTTTGCTCATAGAAATCAAAGATACAATAAAACCAATCTTAAATCGAATTTAAGAAATTACTTACTTGGTGGACAGGAAGCATTACTTGCAGCTAATGTTTTAAAAAGCGATGCCTAAGCATGAAGCGGGCGCAAAACGCTCTACATACGCTTTTTCTCGCTTCTTTATTATTATTATTTGCTTATTTTATTTTATTCTTTTTCCGCCTAGGCACGCTAGCTTTATTACGCCTAGAACTCGCCTAGGCTCTCCAGTCCGACTCTACACTTTACGCTTTTTAGAACGTTGTTTGCAACAATAAGTGGGTGTAATAATTTGTGTTTGCTCGTTTTCAATTATTATTCTGATTTTGTTGCTCTTAGAACACGGATCATGCCTTATTCCATAGCACATAGAATCGCCAAAATGTAATCTTAACATCCCTCCAACTTTTCTATAAAATGATTACTTGTCCAACTATTGCTTTACTACAAAAGATAAAGCCATACGGACACAATAAATGTGTCTCAAAAAGGTTCAAGAAAAGGATAGATCTATTCCCTTTTGTGTTAACAATTCAATACTTTACGTAGGCCTCAAAGCTAAAAGAAATGGGCTTTTAGTCTAGAAGCCAAAAGAAAAGGAAAAGAAAAAGGTTGAAACCTTAGATGAAAGTCCCTGGAGCTGGAAATATAGCTTCTTTTTCTGCTTTTTAGCTCTCAAGTGAAGAAAAGGCTTTGGAAGTGAACACAAAAGTCAAAAAAATAAAGGGCCAAGCATACAAGATAGAAAGAGTTATGCATTAAAGATAATAATATTAATACCATATGTTTCTCCATGAAATGGAGTTAACACGTTCTTCCAATCCCATTATCTACAACTATAATCATACAAAATGAAACAAAAACAATGGTTAATTGATTCAAACATAATAAACCTCCCAAAACCAAGCCCTAGTAGTTTTACCAATTTTTATTTCTCATATGTGTTGGTGTTGTAGTTGCAAGAGCCTGAAATACGCTCCGTCGGGGCGGCTGATAAGGTCGGAGTGGCTACCTTGTTCGATAATACGTCCATCCTGCACAACACCGATACTATCCACCCTTCGTATTGTGGATAGCCTGTGGGCCACAAGAACAGTGGTTCGGCCTCGCATCAGCCTTTCAAGTGCTTCTTGTAGCACGCATTCTGACTCAGCATCAAGAGCACTAGTTGCTTCGTCAAGTAGAAGGATTGATGGGTCCTTGAGAACAGCTCGTGCAATTGCTATCCGTTGTTTCTGTCCCCCAGAGAGTTGAACTCCTCTTTCACCTACTGGAGTTTTATAGCCTTCGGGCAATCCACTAACAAATGTGTGCACATTTGCAGCTCGAGCTGCTTCGATTACTTCTCCTTCCGTAGCACCATCTTTCCCGTAGACAATGTTGTCGAAAATGCTAGCCGCAAAAAGTGCTGGCTCCTGCTGCACTAACCCAATTTTCTGTCGGAGCGACTTTAAGTTAAACCTCCGAACGTCTTTCCCATCAATCATAACCTTACCAGCCATTGGATCGTAAAATCGCTCGATTAGTGCTATTACCGAACTCTTTCCTGATCCACTCGCCCCAACAAGTGCTTGGCTTTGGCCAGCACGGATTCTAAGGCTGAGGTCCTTGAATACAATCACATCTGGACGTGAAGGATACGCAAAGTCAACATGACGGAGCTCAATCTCACCACGAATTGATTCAACTGGCTCTGCTTCAGAATCATCAGGATCTATCCTAGTAGAGCGATCAAGAATGGAGAAAACAGAGCCAACAGCTTCACCACCCCTTATAATCTCGGGAGCAAGGCTAACAGTTTCAGCAACTGAATTTGCTGTGATAACCAAGACTACGAATACCTTAATAACCTTCGAGAAGGTAGAGACGCCTTTGCTAACAAGGTGGGCACCGTACCACAGGATTAGAGCTTCCGACGCATAAAGTGCAAGTTGTGAAAGACCAAATAAAAACCCTGAAGACTGGCTGCGGCGAAGACTTTGTTGTTGTGGCACACGGAGTTCGTGGCAAAACAGAGAGAGAACTTTTTCTTGCGCATTGAACGCCGCAACAGTCCGGATATTGCTTACTCCTTCCCCCGCAATCATGCTAGTTTTTGCATGTGCCTTGGCTGTGTCTCCAGCAAACCCCTTGAGAGAGAGTTGCTGCATAATTCCAAAACAATACAAAATTGTTAAAATACTATCAATTTAACAAAAGAAAAATACCACACTTTCCACAAGAACATCCCATTGATATAATTAACTTATTAATTATATAAGATTATTAGCTTTATTATAATTATATAAGATTATTAGCAATGAATTCCTTTACTGTCTACATAGCATGCGCAAAACTGACAGTACTAGCAATGATACTTCGTCAGTGCCACCAAATAAAAAGTACACACAATAGCACACAATTTGGAAGTCTCTAACCATGATAATGCCTAAAGAACCACTTACAACAAGCATGCAAAACACAGTCCCTATAGAGCTAAAAGCACGACCAGACTAGCCTGTCACAGTTAGGGCAAAGTACAATCGTAGAAAAAAAAAATTCACTTTTAAATTCGAAAACAGTCTATAATAGTCATAGGGCTGACAAGTCCCGGACATGCCGACGGGCAGGATCAAGAAAAATTTAGACCCGGCAACGTCTGAAAGCCAGTTTGTGCTAATCTGACAAGGTCCAATTTACACTTCTACCCTAGACTCTGGCAAGCTACCTTATTCTCCTCGTAAAATATAAACAGTACAAAGAAAAAGAAAAAGTGATTCATATAAATGTTGACAAGAGTCATATGCATATTGATCACGGGATGAGAATCTATGGCAGAAGAGGTGTGAATATCTAGGGGGACTGAAAGATAGTAAAAATCCAGCAATGAACACATGTACCCATATTCAAACCCCACCATCCTCAGGCATTAACTTTGAGTCTCAGAAAAATAATACTCCACTGACGCACACCACAATGCAGCGTCAGAGTAAGGTGAAAATAATTTAACTTGGCAAGTAAATAGTGAAGAGAAACAGACAACCTTATATCTGACACGCGAATATAAATTCAAGAAAGTGGAGAAATCACTCAAATAAGAAAAGGCAAGAAAACTTCTTGGTTGATGGGCAATAATAAAATCTTTGATATTTTTTTCTTCACAACTTGAAGTGTAAACTGGGCTGATACGACACAATTTTGAGATGGTTCGGTGCAACTGAATATTCACAAGTTATTTCCTTTCACATAACTTATTTTGGTTTCTCTAGATACAGACCTACCCGGGCCACGGGTCTCTGAAGCCACATCAGACACTGCTTAACTGGAGAGATAGTCCGACGGCAAGGCCTATCAAGGCTAGACTATGATTGTCAAAGAGTTATGCACTCGAATTTACCCTCTCCTCTCTTAGAATGAAGAAGGGAGTGATTTAGATGCCAAGATCCAACCATGTACCATAAAAATTGACATGCTACCAAATAAATACCTACTTGATGATACCGAAATGCACCTACACGAGGTAAATAAGCTTTTATGCCCAAGATGTCATTACAAAACAAATGTAAGCAGTGCAAATCAATGGTAATTTACCTGAGCAAAATTGGCTAAGACCAGGAGAGGGAAGGTAGCCAGTATGAGCAATGAGACCCTCCATTCCACTATAAAGGCCACTATGAAAGAAGTAAGAAGAGAAGTCATATTCTGCAATATAACAGAAATTCGCTCTGCAATAGCAGATTTTACATCTGCAGCATCGGTTGCTAGGCGGGCTGCAAGGAGACTTGAATTATTCTCCTCCTCATCGAACCATCCAACTTCATTCCTCAAAATTGCTGAGAAAATAAAAATTAAAAATTACTTAGTATGAGAAGCAAAATCCAAAGATTTTTATAAAGTTCAAGTCCATTGTTGACGAGTGATTAAATAACATTTTCTAAAAATATGTAAGCAACTCCATTGGAAGGAAAGTTCAAGTGTCTTTTTTTGTCTTCAGATGCTGCATTATGAGGTTGTTACAGAAACTACAATAACATTTTGTTTAGCACATACATCCAACGAGATTTTAAAATTACATTTCATTTTATATCGTGAAATTGTGCCCATTACTAAACACTACAATGGCTTATACCTGCAAGCATCATCCTCCTCACGCGTGTAGTGAGGTTCTCTCCCATGATACTAAAGAAATAATGTTGTATCAAATATGCCACGACAGCATAGAGACCCGCTCCGATGTAAATAAAAACATATTCCTTAGTCTTCCTTTCCATGCTAGCTGGATTTCGATAGTAGAACACCTCAATCATATTGCTCATCACAATGGCAAAAGTCGGACCAATGAAGCCAGAAAGAATCGATCCTATCGCACCCAGGATCGAGTAAGGCCACTCAGGAGCATTTAGTTTAAGAAGCCGGCAGAAGTACCCAGCAGGGGCAGGATTTTTCCTATCAGTTTCGGCATTTGATACCATCTCTATACGGCCATCAGCGCCAGTGCTGTATGAATAACTCAAGTTTCTTAAACTTCCAGAACGAAGGCTAAGAGATTTTGTCGACAATGAATGACTTAGCCGTGATGAACGTGTACGTCGAGTTGAAGGATTCGAAAAATCTCTGTTTCCTACCATTTCCTGGAATCTAATTAAGGATGCATAGGCCCCAGCTTTGGCAATCAGTTCTTCGTGGCTTCCAGTTTCTACAACTTGCCCTTGCTGTATAACTGCAATAGAGTCCACATTTCTTATGGTTGAGAGACGATGAGCGACAACCACAGTTGTCCTTCCAACCATCAGACGATCCAGTGCCTCTTGGACGATGCTTTCTGAACCTGCATCAAGGGCACTAGTTGCTTCATCAAGCAGAAGTATTTTCGGGTTCTTCAACATAGCTCTTGCAATTGCTATTCTCTGCTTTTGACCACCAGAAAGTTGGACGCCACGCTCTCCAACCTAGAATTCGATTAAACTAGTAATTTTAGTCAAGATCACATGAAAACTATATGAAAAAATAGGAAATTACGGGCACTCTCTAAAAGGCCAAAGTGAGTAAATCACTTGATCCTCTGATATCTTTATCTCCTGAAAGAATATAGCATCCTTTGATGGGAAGATAGTTCGAACCTGAGTGTTGTATCCATTAGGAAGCAAGGTAATAAAGCTATGAGCATTTGCAGCAAAAGCAGCAGCCTCCACTCCGGCCATGGTTGCATCCGGCTTTCCATATAGTATGTTCTCAAGAATCGTGGTGGCAAATAGTGCAGGTTCTTGGTTCACGAGACCAATTTGATCACGCAACCATCTCAACTGCAGCGTCTTGATTTCCACGTTGTCCAGCAAAATTTGTCCTGTACATTCCATTGCAAGATTAAATACGACAACTAGTGAATATATCGATATTCATCAACTAAGGAAGGAAAAATGCGATAAATTACCCTGATTTGGATCGTAAAACCGTTCTATCAAAGAAACAACCGTGCTTTTTCCTGATCCACTACCACCCACTACTGCAACTGTCTTTCCAGCAGGAAAGAAGATCGAGAAATCTCTGAATATAATAACATCAGGTCTAGATGGATAGCTGAAAGTTACATTCTTAAACTCGATGTTTCCATTGACTTCAGTCAAGCACATTCCATCGAATGAATCTTGAGCTATTGTAGGCTTTTGCTTGATTATCTCCATTAACTTGTATCCAGCAGCTTTACCTTTGCTGAACGCCCCAAGATTAGAAAATGACTGACCCAAACTCCTGTAATAATAAACACGTCAAAAGAATTTTATGAATATTCCTCATCTATCGGCTCGAGAATGTAGTAACGAGAATTTAACCCAAAATCTTACATGCCACCAACAATGGCAGAGAAAATGGCAGTGAATGCTTTGCCACCGTCTGTTTGTCCATTTCTGATAAAAACACCAGCATACCAGAAAACAAGAGCCCAGGACATGCATGCTATTCCATAAGTACATCCTAATCCCAGACCTTTTGCCATTCCAGCCTTGTATCCTAGCTTCAATGTGTTTTGTATGGCATCAGAGTATGCACTGAGGGCCTTGCTCTCACCAACATAAGAGTAAACTGTCCTAACCTGAGCAATGGCCTGCATTGAAAGCACATATTTTAGGCAACAATATGTTTCTAAATGGAACTCATTTCAGAACTCTATGACACTCGAGTCAACCTTCAACTCATTATTACAGTTATTGAAAACAACTAAAACTAAACGTTAGGGCAAACGAAAAGTGTGAGTTTAGTTTGCAGTAGATAGGACCGGACAATATTTAGAAGCTCACAACATCGTTTTCTTTCTTACTACTGTCATTGTATCCAATACTCCCTACCAACTATGCTATTTTGAAGGGATTTCATTATTAACACGCATCTTAAAGCAGTACAAGTTCACCTGCTCAGCTATTATACCAGCATTGGCATATGATTCTCGACTCTTGGACGTGAGACCTGTGAGAGTATAAGCATATAAACCACCGGCAAATGCAATTCCTGGAATCACGGCCACGCTGAGCAGAGCCAGCCTCCATGCCGACACAAAACCAACCACCAATCCCGCCAAAAACGTAGAAAGATAATGGATGAAATTTCCCACCTAAATTATACATAGGAAACAAATTATAAATTAATCACAATCCCAACATCACTCATTTAAAACACCATTAGCACTCCTCCAGGAATGTGAAAACCAAATCATGACAAACAAGACAGGCGGTGGCGCAGGTCAAGAAAGTGAAGCTGACGCGCGCCACTAAATCAACTGTGTGAAATTATGGTATATGGGTCCCGCAATAATGGCTACCCACTTCTCCAAATGACCCAATTTCCCCGTCTTTAGTCCCCCAACTGTCCCATTACAAGATTATACCGTTGCCTTTCAAAAAAAATACATTGAACGCGAAACTGCATGTGCAGGCCACCAGGCACCAGGTATAAATACACATATATAGTCTAGAGAGAGCTATATACACATGTATAGATATATAGAAATAGAGATATAACCTTCTCACTGATAGCATCTTGGACAAGTAGGGTGTCGGTTGAGACACTAAAAACAATATCCCCAGTCCTTGCATCAGTATCAAAGAACCCAACATCCTGTTTTAACACTGCCTCCAAATACTTCTTCCTCAGTGCACTTACTTGCCTTTCCCCAGTGTACATCCAGCACGCAATCTCTGTTAATTACCAAAATTAACCCAAAGAATCAAAATAACGGATAAGGAAAAAAAATTCCAGAAAACAGTAGGGTTTATTTGAAGTTAGATTAAATTAAAGGAGAAATAAAGAATAATTTTAATGCAGTGATAGTGATTGAGATGCGTGGTGGGATAATATAAAATAGGCAAATATGTTGGAAATTGACAAGAGAAGAGGAAAAAGACAGAGAGACAGTCCACGGACCACGTGCGACTGATCCGAAACCATGTTTGAACAAAAAACTATCGAAATTATAAAAGAAAAAAGATAAAATGCAGATCATAAATCTCACCTGCATAGGATGAAAAACACACTACCAATCCAAGATAGACGAAATACAGAGCATACTGCATTCAATGTATAAATCAAGAATCAGATCTGGTTATATGGGTTCATAGATAATGATAAAAATATTAATAAAAATTGTATGCATGGAACAAGAAAAGTTGAAACCTTGGATACTTCAGAGGTCATTTGGTGCAAATCCATTTGGTTTTTACCAAACCCGTTAACCATTTCACCGAACAGAAGGAAGAAAACGGGCATGGAGGATCCATGAATGATGGCCCCGAGGGTACCACAAATCATAAGAAGAATATCATATTTATCAGCAAAAGAAAAAAGCTGATAAAATGATAGACTCTGTTCTTTCTTCTTATCTGCATCTGGCAATGCTTTACCTTCCGCTGTTTCCGCCATATCCCACAAAGATGAACAAAAGAAAGTGCCCCTTAGAAAATTAGAGCACGAAAAAAACAATCTTGAACAAGGAGTGGCAGTGGATGAAGAAAAAAGAATCTGAAAGTGTCTTAATTGTTATATATTTTGATGGGCAGAAAGTTAAGAACTCATCAACGGGAGTTCAAGAAAAAAGAGATAAGAATGACTAGGGG